TGCCTCTCTTTTCCTCCCCCTCTTCTGACAGCAGCAGGAGACGTTGGGAGTGGGAGAGGGAGACGGGCTATTTCATCGTAATCAGAAAATGATCATATAGGGCTTACACACCGAGCCGTTGGACCCCCAGAGCATTGCGTATGCCGGTCTACCCACCTTGGGACCCCCCCTCCCCCCACACAGAGCGGATCAAGGCAACGAAACTTAAAATAAGAAGCAGCATTTTACGGCGCGCTATGGGGGCCGCCTTGAGGGGGTTTCCCGACATGTCGTTTCAGTAAATTAAAGGGTGTTTCATGTTGTCGTTGCTGTGGGACTTCTTAATACCTTGGAAAATGCCGTTTAATACTTTTTAATACTTTTTAAAAGCCTTAATTTTCGCTAAATTGATTTATCAACTTTTAATACTTTTTAAGACCCCGCGGACACCCTGAAAGAGTAATTCTTTATGAAAATTGGCAGAAAATGCTTTCAGATTCTCAAACAAAGAGTTACTGATTTATTTCCTCTTTTTAAAATCTTGTTAAAGTAAATATCTTAAGACAAAACAAGACATTCAAAGACATCAATGTGGACTTTTGAGAAACTAAAATGAATATTTTCTGAAATTTTATCTACAAAACGATGAATCAGTTCATCTGGAAAATGTGAAATAATGGAAATAATTGTTAGATGCTGTCCTACTTTTCACAAGCAGTGATATCCCTCTGCCAACTAGTCCAGTTGCACTTTACATCCGTCCGTCTAAGATATCACTACTTTATCATGTTATCCTTTCATTTGTTTGAAATTGTCATTATTAGCAGGTTCTTTGAGGTCATAGTGACCTTTGACCACCAAAACCTTATAAATTCATCCTCAAGACCAAGTTATGAAGATATTCCCTGAAGGCGTTCCTGATCACATTTAAAAGATAAGGATAGAAACCTGACATTTAAATCCCTCAGGACACAGCTGTTTGGCGCATTCAAAGGATCAGTACAAGACATTCTGACTCTCAGTTCCCCGGTTCAGATATGGGTCTCCTTTATGTAATCTTTGTTTCAGCTTTTTCTGACAGAATATTTTCAGAGCCACATTGCTCATGTGATATTTTAAACGGGGTCAACAGATGGATGGGTTATAATTTCTTTCTTATATTAAAAGCAAAAACAGCTCCACACCAAATGTGTTTGTCCTCTTTTTTATGTGGCAAAAACACAAATCACAGTGATAATATTTTCTATATATTAACATTATTAATCCAGACATAGAATAAATTGTCTGCATGAGATGTTGAGTTTTGTGTAATTCACATTTGCTCACATCCTGCAGGATATTCATATATTCATAATTGTATATTTTTAGTTGGCACAATGACTGAACAAAAACATTGACAATCACAGAAGGTGTTGTTATCTGACATGTTTTACCTTGTTGATGAAGTAGAATACGGCGTAAATGAGGACGTAGAATGCTGATCCTCCTGAAACCAGGAACGTTCTCCACCACCACCTGTAGTCCTGATGGAGAGCAAAAACAGAAGCTCTGAGGATGCAGATTCAGAACAGCAGCTGCTTCCACGTACACATTCCACTTGCTGAGGAGAAACCTGCATAAAACACTACAGCACTGCTCTCACACTGAACATTACACTCTCTCATTGTTTATTAGGTTGTAACTAATGCCTTTATTGTTTGTTAATAAAACTGGATTTGGTTTATTAGAAGTCCATCAGACAGGTGTAAACCATTTTTTTTGCCTAACATGCGTATTTATTTTTGTGCTTTAACCATTATTAAAACGTAAACATTATACGCGTTTTGAATTCACAGAAAATATGTATTAAACGTTTTGGATCTACACAAATCAGGTGAAGACAGTTTTTATTAACTCGTCATTTTTTGCTGTAAGGCTAGGACAGGATTCCTGCAGGTTTCACCAACTCAAATTTAAGACCTCTTTAAAACCTTTTTAAGACCACTTTGAATAGAATTTAAGACCTATTTCACAGCAAGAAAGTATGAAGGAAAATTGTTATGAAAGAAGAAATACGTCCCATAATTACTTACAAAGTAAACGTATTCTCGTTCAACATAAGAACAATGACTGAACACAACAGCACAGAACTGTTAGCCAAAGTGTGTGTGTGTGTGTGTGTGTGTGTGTGTGTGTGTGTGTGTGTGTGTGTGTGTGTGTGTGTGTGTGTGTGTGAGACAAGAGCTATAGTCAGAGCTCTGCTGTCTTCATGCTGTTGTATGATTGGTGTTTAGCTACGGTATTTAGCGTCTACAGCACCTCCGCTTTTAGGTTTGACGTAGACCCAAACGTCACCCGGAGGTCCCCCGGTGTTGTTGCGGGAGCTGCTGCACGAGCGAACGCTACATTAGCAAAACAAACGCTAATTTATTGTGCAAAAGGTCCAGCGGGCTTCAAACACGTTCCCTCCACTGGTTTCAGCCAAGCACTAAATGTGATGTTTTCCAACCAAATACGGTTAAACTTACACTTCCCCATATTTATTTGTAAGTAGATTCGAAGATACCTGAGTTTCTGACTGCCGCTAGCTGAAGCTTGGTTGCTAGGGTAACCTAGCAACCAAGCTTCAGCTAGCGGCAGTCAGAAACTCAGGTATCTTCGAATCTACTTACAAATAAATATGGGGAAGTGTAAGTTTAACCGTATTTGGTNTATGGAAGAGATATCCTATTACTCCACTGCTTATTTACACATGTTGTAAATAATGCGGTTAAAACCTCAGTAACTGAAATAAACAATGTGTTTAACAATTACTATTTTAATTACATTTTGTATTTTCATCTAATCACTAAGTAGAGGTAAGAATATATCCATCCTCTCTCTGCAGCTTCATGTCTTCTATTATGAGAACTTTCATCAATAAGACAGAGGAAATCAATCATGTCATTTAACATCACCAGCAGTAAAACAAATATCAGCAAACGTGTGTTTATCGAGTTGTTTGTTTTGATTATATGTGCGGCTGTTTCGGGATCAGATACAGAAACACACAAAAAAAGTGCAAGACAAAATATAGATTCATATAAACAAACACAATTTAGATTAAGTAATATAATCTAAATTGTAGATTAAATAGAGAGTATTGCAAATAAATAAACTGTTAACAGTAATGTAATAAGTACAGTGTATGTAAAATGAGAAGCACTTTAAGGCGCACAGATGAAATGTGTTAATTTGAAGTAAAAGTATGTAAGGCTAAAGTGACAGCAGTGATGATCTATAGTTCTGCACTCATACGTCTGTAGGACGGCAGTAAGCAGAGGTCTGGGTGGAGGATGTTCCTGAACGCCGTTCTGCTTTCTCCAGCACCACGGGGGGTCCAGGTGGATTTCAGCTCTGTCCTGATGATCCGCTGTGCACACACAGATTAAGGGTCCTTCTCCAGCAGATCAATTTTTCCAGAATTGTCCTAATCACAGAGAAAAACGAGAAAGAAAGTGAAGGATAAATTAAATAAACTTTAACCTAAATAAAAGATGATCAAATCTGGTGGAAATATTTCAAATAAGCTTTTTTTTTTCATTCAGAATTTCCTAGCAAAATAAAAAAATGATATTAAACTAATACAAAAAATAAATATTAGGACAAAGCACTACAAATAACAACAATAAACATCATAATATAACAATAAAAATGTGGTATTCAGCCCTGATTAAAACAGCTGGCCCAAATCCCGGATGGGCGGGCCCAAATCCTGGATGGGCGGGCCCGGCCCCATGGGGCCAGCCCATGACGCCAGGTCTGCCGCCATTTCATTTGAACAAAACTCGTCCCCACCGCGCATTGCATCCTGGGATATGGTAGACCGCGGAGGATACATCAGATGTATCCTTCAAATCCGTGAAAAGAAGGCCGCATTCCTGGGCCGCATTCGGAGGAGCCTTGTCTTTTTTTTAAATTGGGACAGCCTTCTTTCGGCGGAAGTGATGTATGCGGTCTACGAATACACCCTTCGAAGGATGCAACCCCTCAATTGAGACACGGCCAAAATTAGTGTTTGTTTTGCTAGTGCAGCGTTAGCTAGTGCAGCAGCTCCCGCAACAACATCGGGGGACCTCCGGGTGATGTTTGGGTCTACGTCAACCCTGAAAGCGGAGGTGCTGTAGACGTTAAATACCATAGCTAAACACCAATCATACAACAGCATGAAGGCAGCAGAGCTCTAAATATAAGCTCTTGTCACAGCACACACACACACCACCACAACACACACACACAACACACACACACACACACCACAACCCCACACACAACACACACCACACACACACCACCACAACACACCACACACACCCACACACACACCACACACACACAAACACACAGAGACCACACATACACACTTTTTGTCTTACACGCTAACCACGTTCTGTGTACTGTATTTTCAGTCATCGTTCTTATATTTGAAGATAAACATTTTACTTTTTAAATAATTTATGGGACGTATTTCCTCTTTCATAGCAATTTTCCTTAATACTTTTCTTACCGTGAAAGTCTTAAGTTCTATTTCAAAGTGGTCTTAAAAAGTTCTTTACATTTGAGTTGGTTGAAAACCTACAGGGAACCCTGACTGGCAGATATCACTGTGTAATCATTTGACAGTGAGGGAATACTTCGTTTTTATATGAAAACTTCGAGACTGGAAAATACTGTTTTCACCCCGTGAGGGTTGACGCCAACTTTACATGGGACGCTGCCGTCAATAGAAATGAATAGGGGAAAGAATGTAGGTTATATACACGTTCTCCTGGCAAGACCTCCAGAGAATTATCTCGCAATATCTATCAAACTAAAAGATCATACAATATCCACTGGACGTGGATTCTAAAAGTACAATATACACTTCTCGCTAGAAATGGCAATCAAAAAGCATTTTAATGGCCAAAACTTATCCGTACAATTTAGGATTTTCCAGGAGTTTGTTATTTGTGATATACAAACCTACCGGCAGCGTTTGCAATCAAACGAGCATCAAGCCAATATGCCTGAATGGTCATTACTCGTAACACACGTAGAGTGTCTAAACTTAACGTGATATAGGCTAATAAGGCTGCTAACAATCGACCTATTTGGCGTTTTTTGTGAGGATACAGGCTGTTATTTCAAATGAATGTTAAACATTGTTCTACGATCAAAGCCTGTGGGCCTCTCTGCTGGCGAACAGTGCAAACTAAAA